TCCTGTACACAGTAGCGTAGAGGATTTTTCACTTATCTCAACTTAAAACTGCACTCTGGGAGCTTTTGCTTTACAGTACCTTTGCATTTAGCTGGCTCTTATTTGTCCTGATAGAAGTGAATTTGGACTATACTGACATCTGGATGCAGGAAAATACTTTAGTAACAAGAATCTGTTGTTTTAATATAAATATATTGGACTTTCTTGGATTTAATCTTAATATTTTTAAATGCTGTTGGTAGTTCATGCTGATATACAGATGGCACTTTGCTGTAGCTGTGACCATTGTACTTTATTTATTGTGAAAAGCATGGACAAAGTGGAATATAAAGTAAATCTATTATTATTATTATTATTATTATTATAGCAGAAACTTGTTCAACTGCATAACACAACTGGTCATGTGATGTCAACATGGCAGCGGCCGAGAGGGTGAGACCCGCTTCACGTAGCCTACAATAAAATATTTTTCTGGAAAAGCGCCCTGAAGTTGCAATCTCATTTTAATGATATTTCTTCCTAAAATGCTGTTAATTTTTATGTTTAAAACTTTTTAATAAACAACAATTACTGAGTTCCCCATTACTGTTTAATTTAAGTGAGGTTTTGAAAACATTTAATAATGTTTCGTAAGTGACCTTTGGGAAAGCTTAATTCTTCATAATCTGATTTCTAGCAAACCTGGCGTGGCCACAACTGTCCTCCCTCCGAGCTCGTTGATGCTGAGAAGATCTCAAGCGACACAGCACCTCCTCTCCTCCCTCAACGGTGCGCACAGCACCTCCTCGCCTTCCACACTTGGAGTAGACGGAATGGTTGCACTACTTGCATTATAACCGAGGCTGCATCCGTGTGCGCGTAAAACCATTAAGGACAAGAACAACTGGACAAGAATAGAGCGATGCCATCTTGTGACGAAACCTCAATCCAGTTGCGAAAGGAGCAGGATGAATTTAGTGCTCTCCAGATTCTTGGCATACCTTCACGTCGGGCTCCAGGTCGCGCTCCAGATGTTTATTTACCCTTGTCATCTGCATCCCCAGCCCTGTCACATCCTGGCACGCATTGGGCACACAGTGCGCTTGGGTGCGCTCCTGCCGACCCGCCAGCAGTCCAGGATACAGGGCGCCCTCAACCGCGCCCTGGTCCACCTCCGGCAAAGTGGGAACAACTTCTTGCCGTACAATCTGAGCTTGGAAGTATTGTCCCGAGAGCCGCTCAATGGAGACCCGGAGTCCATGTTCAGGTGTGTGTGTCAGGATATCGTTGTTCAGGGAGTCTCGGCTGTGCTTGCGTTCCCTCAGAACCACGAGGAGCTCATACAAGTGGAGTTCATGTCCTCGTTTTTGGAAATACCTTTCATCAGCATCATTGAACAGGGCGAACCTCTTAAGACACAGGTGAGAAGCAAACTCATTTTCTTTACTTTTATCCAAAGCGCTCTTTACATTTTAAGGAAGATATGGCCAAACTGTTCCGGTCTCGATGTACATTTTCCTTGTACTGGCTGTTTTTATTTTTTGTTACATCGTTTATACTCTCCGCTTCCACGGTCGCTCTTGTTATTGAGGCATAATCAACATAAAAATGCGCTTGACAACCGGGACGTGTTTTGTTTCAGGGTTTTCCCCCCACTATGTGTGTCAAACTTTAATATAATGTCCCCAAATTAGTCTTAAACATATTAGAAATCTACAATGTCTGCCTAAACTGTAAATTAATGTCATGTACATCGAGGGATGTAGCCACCAACAATTTAAAACTTGGACTAGTTTTGTGCATTCAAATGTATTCAAATTTAAACAAATTGATTATTTCAAATTATGCCTTCTTCCAAAGCCAACTCCCATGCCTATTTCCTTTTTAAACATGCTGAACATAAACAGCTAACAGAATTGGACAAAATATAGAAAAATGCATAAAACAAAGGTCAACACTCAACAACTCTAAAACATAAAACAGTATGTATATGTGTTAGTCACTCTGATAGCTGTGGCAAATTTAGGTCTATATTGTCTAATTTTGTGCAGTGTTTGTGGAAAGTAATTGAAGATGCAAGAGAACCTACTGATAGACACCAGATGAGACCAGTTCTGTCATTTATACAATTATAAGCCAGACATGAAATTATTAGCCAGATTCTACACAGTTTTACAATTTCTGCTGTTACCTCAAGAGGCTGATTGTCAGAAAGCTGATAGTTTTAAAATGGTTCCATCTGTTCCCAAGCAGATTTTATATGTTGAGTGGAACATACAGTATAGAGAGACTTAGGGCTGTGGCAAGTATTTCAGGTGTTTTTGTCCAGGGGCCGGACACAGAGGTCCTGATGTATTCCAGTGGAACAATCCTAACACTGTTTAGGGCTCAGGGTTGAGGCACGCTGACACTCGTTAGTATTCTAAGCAGCAAACAGAGCGGATGCCAGTCGCACCAGTTGTTTCTGTCTCCAGCAGTGCAGCCAGTTGCAGCGGTTTCTCCTGGCAGGGAAACCTCAAAAGATTTTCCTCCCGTCAAACTCTGCCAACATATGGACACAAAGGAACAAAGGCACCCCTGATTTTGCATAAAGAGCCTTGAGCAGTGGGTCAGGAGAGAGACTCATCTTTTAAGATGCTCATTTATAACAGCGTGATTTATCCTACATCTTATAACATGTCTGTCAAAAGGTTGTCATGTCCTGTACATTTATGGCCTGGCTGCTTGACAAGTCACCACCTATTCCAGCAGGAACAATGTTAATCATTAGAGCATTGCTGCTGTGATTGTCTGTAGTCTGGATCGCTCCATTATGGAGGCCGAGGGTGTAAATAAAGTGTGAAATACCTGGAGGAGATGGTCTGTAATCTCCCACATGTGTAGGGTTGAGATAAGCACAGATAGGCCGCTGAGGTCTGTGACAGTAAGGATGCGGGAAGAGCGTGGTGCATCAGCCAGGTGAGGAAGAATGCTGCGAGCTGTGCTTACGGGGCTGAGATGGCTCAGTGTTGCCAGGCACTTAGCATTACAGCACCCCAGCACATTCATATGATTTAATACACATCCGCGTATGTGGTTTAATACTGTCTGGATTTGGGTTAATGCCCATATACTGTAAGCCGAGAATGCTCTGACCCATCAAAACGAATTGAGCAAGTAAGCTGAGGGATATTTTTTGGACTCTCTGTGTTGGTGTATGTTTCGTAAAAAAAATGGTTTTTCTCTATTTTGAGGCAGTTGCAAGAATATGAGAGGTTAATTGAATCTAAAACTCTTTTTCCAATAAGTGGTATGACTGCGCCCTGAGGTACTTATGACTCTTCCCCGACCTTATACCTTATTTCTGCTCTAAAATGTGTGTCTTTGAAAATTCAACCCTCTTTCTGCCAGAGGTGAGCTTTGAAATGGTGCCTGATCTCTCAATATAAGGTGATTGAGTTTTCACTTTGCTTCTGAATACGGCACCTCGCTGAACGAATCTCACTGGCGTTCAGATCTCATGACAGAAATGATTCATTGTTTTTATTTTGGCTGTTGGCAGCTTTATGGTGAGCACAGCGCTGACCAGGCTGCACTCATGCCAACGATGCCTCTCCAGAGTGGCTAATTCTTGTTTTGTTATGGAATGAATATTTGTTTCTGTTTTCATTGTGCTAATCATAGCGTACTTCACTGCTCATAGCAAAACAATGAACAGTCTGTTGATCTTTTTATCAGTTGGATCATCTAACTGACATTTTAAATCAATATCTGTATCTCAATCTGCAATCTTATAGCCTCTCTGATTGCTTTGATGATGGAGAAAACACATAGAGAGAGAAACAGCAGCGTCTGTTCGTTTTGGCATGGGAACCTGCAAACGGCATCTATTCTGAATGGGGGAGAGATTTGCATAAGCGGTTATGTATTACAGTTTAGCACTATGGGTACTTTTGATGCAAAGTTCCCTTCTGTATGTCAAAGTCTCTCTGTAAGTCATTTTCCATCTCTTCTCCCTCTTCATTTTATTTCCATTAGTTTTGTCTTATCTCTTTCACCCAACTCTCTCGTGAGTATGTTTCAATTATCTTCCCCTTTTTTGAAGGGATAGGAAAAAAAAGACTTGGGCTGGATAACAAGACAGAAGATGTGACAACCGTTCCCATCATGTATGAGTCTGAGGTACACAAACACATGCACTTCTGATCAGAGCAAAGACTGCCGTCCATCCGCACAAAGATGCCTCTGCCTCAGTTAAGCTGTACGTGAGGGATTTCACTTTCTGTGGGAGAGATCTGGCCTTATTTAACTTGCATTGATTCATAAAATACACTCCTGCACTTAAAGGAATATTAAGGGTATAGAACAAGTTATGTTCAATTGACAGCATTTGTGGCATGATGTCTACCACAAAAAATAATTTCAACTTGTTTTCATACTCGTTAAAAAACAAAACAAAAAAGAAGGTTGATTCTCTTTTTTTAAGGCTTTACAAGCCTTACAATCCTTTTATAAAATAACTTTACATTATTTGCATATTTACATATTTTACACTTTACTTATTTTTCTGTTAAAACTTGAGTATTATTTGAGCTGTAAAGTAGTTTTTTTATTTGCATGGTCATTTTAGGGCTATAGGTGTTACATTGTCATGGCAACAAAGTAAACTGGATATAATTTTACACAGAAATGGTTAGTAATGTTTATCTATGCTGTTAACACTTAACCTAAAACCAGTAAACAAATCTGGAAGGAAAAAAGGAAAGGTTAGCAAGTCATTTTTCTCAAACCAAAATGATGTTAACACACATATTGTTTAAATCTTGTGGCTAATGGACCCTTTTCACATTTCTGGGGTTCTCAATTGTCATTGTAGGTGAACGGAAACTATACAACAAATATCATTTTTGCATTACCATTTGCTGCAATAGCAAAAGAAAAAATCCATGTTTACTATGACCTTACAAAAAAAAAACAAATAGAGAGACTGATTACGTTGATCGAACGTGAGAAAGATGTCAAATTTGCTGTCCCTTTTTAGAAACACAGCGTTAGTAGTTTTCTGTAATTTAATGCCAAGGTATAACACATATGAAAATGTTATACTGTAGATGCACGTACATAATTTTTTTTAATGAAAATATAAAAAACTTTTCTAGATTTACGATGTTAATAACTATGGAAACACGTCATCACAGTCTGTGAAAAGGGATCAGATTAAAATGTGAAATCTATTTATGGATTTGCCCCATTCACTTCCTTCGTAAGTTCCTCCCTGTAACCCAGAATTTTGCTTTTTTTTAGGATAAAGTAATTTTTTTATTTTTTTATTAATTTGTTAATCAACATTATAGTGCTAGTGATTGAGTAACTTGTATTGCACCCGGAATATTCCTTCCAACACCAACAGCACTTTTAGTTCTATTTATTTTATGAGCAGTTGTAGGATTTATAGCACTCGTCAAAGCTTTCATTGTTTTTAATGCCAGTTGAGAAAGGAGAAATTAACAGAGTTTTGCTCTGAACAGGCAGTAGAATTTTCTCCCACAGATTAATTAATATCCACCCTCATTCAGATAACAAAAAATGTTTTCCCAGTCTTGTAATGTGCCTGAAGCTGGGTCAACCTCAAGCTTTTAATGTTTTTGCAGTTACAGTGCAATATGGAGCTTGTCTTCATAGATACTCTCAGTGTTAACTGGGGATACGCGGCGACAGTGTTTATTCAGCTCTGTCAGACTCACTTACTGTTGGCTCTGTGCTGCTGATGATTGCAGACATTGTGCTGAATTACTTTTTGTGCCTCCCTGAACCTTCTTGCAAGGTTGTCCAGCCCCCTAAATGCACATTGCTTGGCTATCAGAATTCTTGATAACTTTTATCTTTTTTTTTTGTTTACCATTTGCCATTTCAAGGGAATCTGAAAACATGACCTGCGCTGCCTTGACATCTCCAATAACATTATTTTCCCCCATATAGACCACACAGAGGACTAAAGGGAGCAGACGTCAACTGCCCACGTTTATTTACAGCTTCACCTTTAAAACCACAGGCATTATGAAACACTGGAACATCAGCCATCATTAATAATGAATCACTCACTCATCATGATTTAATGAGGGTTTAGATGCCCTGCATAATGCAAAGCCTTGACAGGTAAAACTATTGCCTTTAAAATACCCCTTTACAGTTAGAAATAGATTTAAGTTTAATGGCAAGCAAATATAACAGCCTTTAACTGCTTATTAGCAAGCCATCATATTTTATTCCACTGGAAATCCATCAAACCACCAACTACTTTGAATGGATTGTAGATGAAAACATTCCTTATGCTAGAAAAATGTTCCAGAAACAGTAACTTACATATAATATTTTTCTTTTTCTTCTTTCTTGGGTTTGTCCTCTTGTTATTTGTTGGTTTGTTTTTCTGGGGTTTACTCAG